TGGTTTTCAGTACCCCATTCTTGTTCCCGTTAAGAACCGGGTTAGAATTGGTTCTCAGTAATCCATGTTTGTGCCCCGTGAAGATCCGGGTTAGAATTGGTCTTCAGTAACCCATGCTTGTCGCAAGAGGCGACTAACGGCATCGGGTGGCCATGCTCGCTGACTTGGTTGACACATGTCATCGGTTCCCAATTGCGTAGATCGATGCTCATGCTGTTGATCACTGGATTGTCTGGTCCAGACTCGATTATTTACAGACCGCCGTCATATAGCAGGATACATGACTGAGTGCGGCGTAAAACAACAAACCAACCATCCAAATCCACTACTGAAAAAAACCAGCACTAATAGGTTCCCTATATTTATTCATTATTTCAGCCGTCACGCCGAAATTCGTTACTGAGAGTTGCCGTTCTTGGTGGTGGCTGGATCCAATGATGGAAAGTCATTGGCTGCTGTCTATGACTGACATCACGGAGGGTATACCCAAACCGTGCTTCAAGACTGCTCAGACCGCTGTTAAACCCGACTTACATACTTACTGTTTTCAACAAAACCGCGGTAGATTCTGTCAGAGTTCTGCTGAAGCCCAGTGGTTAGAGTTCAGTCAACTCCCTCATACTGTGGTTTTATTCCCAAAATGCGGATAATAATAATTAGAACTAAATGCCACCTTGTTTGGTATGTTTCTCATTCTGTTGTCCTTTTCAGAATCGCTCATGTTACAAAAGGCATTCAATAACCGAGGAAATTTGTCCTTGCACTCTTCACATTCACGTGGGTTCGGTGGGGTAGCCTAGTGGTTAAAGCGTTCGCTCGGCACGCTGAAGACCCGGGTTCCATTCCAATCTGTGAAGCCCATTTCTGGCCTCCATCGCCGTGATATCGCTAGAAAGTTACTAAAAGCGGCTTAACACTAAACCCAATCCCCCACATTCACGTAATGCACGTGATTTTCATGAAAAATGTGGTATTGTGTTTTTGCTGCATCTTAAGCAAGATAGATGCACCCCTGACATTACATTTCTCGGGATTGTGTACAGCACGTGTTCCAAAGTTTGTGTGATATTTTGGTTTGCCTCAGCTAACGCAGAGAAGTCGTGATTTTACATTTTTCGGGACGACGTAATCCACCCGTGTTTCATTTAACATGTCATATTTTATTTCTCATAGAGAATTCATAGAGAGAATGCATGGTAGAACATTTCTAAGGATGGTGTTATGACGCGCATTTCATGCAAAGTGTCATGCTGTTTCATTAATTAACATAGAAAATACATTACTGTACATGTTTCGATTTGAAGTACCGCACGTACGTTCCAATAAAGTATTATTTTAATTTCTGATTACTTGATACCAGGTGATACACTTCATGGGATGACCTAATGCACGTGCGTCCATCCAAAGTTTCATTTTATTGTTTGTATTGAATAGGAGCATGTATCATAGAACATTTTCCGGAAGAAAACTGTATTTTTTTGTTCTCATTATTTAGCGGACGATTGTACTTTCCTTGGGATGATGTACTGAATATATCACAGTACATTTCCGGATGAATACTGTTATATTATTTTCTCATTAATTAGTTCAGTAAATACATGGTAGTATTTTTCTCGGGGCGATGTACTGCACGTGCGTTTTATATTTAAATTTTGCATTGATACACAGCAAACGCGTTTCATATAATCGTGATGTTTGCCATGTGTTTTTAGCTGGATAGTGAAAAAATTCGATACATTTCAAAGAACGGTGATGGTATTTATTTCTGCCTTTAGTTTGACACACACAAAACAGTAAACAACCGAGATAAAATCGCCCATCGACCAACACACAGATATGAGTTGTGCCTTGGACGATTTGGGTATTGTCTTGTCTCTCGTTATCTATGTATTACATCGTTCACAAGGGATAACTATTACAGTGTAAAATTAGTTGAGTAATTCTTTTAATAATCTTAGTTGTCATTTGATTATTGATTTTTTTGAAAGATTTTTTTGGGTTATAGATTGATGCATTTTTATATTTGGCAGAGATGTGTTTTTACAATTGGTAGTTTAAATTATCAACTGACATTGTTAGTGCCTGTATTCTAAAACGTGGTTAAAGGATTGTAAAATGATTGTCCTTCTGAGGGTACGTAAGCCCCGAAACTTCAAAGTAAATTTAGATCTAACCCTATCTTTAATCGTAGCATACATGACATATTATTTCATGGCTAGATGGCTGACAGGGGGTGGTGAAATCTAGCGAGGGTCCATGCAGGATCCAGATGTACTGTTAGTCCCATGGTCCCTAGTATGGTGGTCTACTAGACTAACATCTAGTATCTGAAATGAACAACCCCCCACAAAAAAATATATAAAATGAAATAAATAAAAATAAAATAATACTTATAAAAAAAAAAATATATAATAATTATAATAAAAATAATAATAAATAAATAATAATAATAAAAATAATCGCCTCCTAAAATCTGTGGTAATCTGGACTTGCCACATATTCTAGAGTTGCATGGGCTTTCTTGGATGTATTTATTTCAGGGTTTGTATGACCAGCTAGCTACCTACCTTCAGTTGTAGGCAATCTAAAGCCTGTTTTAATATTGTACTTTCCTCTGTTTTGAGATGCGATAGCCTAGTAGTTAAAGCGTTCGCTCCTCACGCCGAAGACCCAGGTTCGATTCCATGGGTAAAATGTGTGAAGTCCATATCTGGTGTGATCCGCTAGAATTTTGTTAAAAGCGGCGTGAAACCATGCTCTCACTCTTCTATTGTTAAAACGTGTTTGATATTCATGCTAGTTTTACGTCTATATCTGTGATGTTCTAGTAGTTGTTACTGGTTTTATAATTTAACTTTATGTATTATGAATCTATAACTTGTTTTAGTCAGGATATGGCTTAACTTACATCTTAACTCACTTTCTTCACAACAAAGTTAATCAAATTGCGCCCATGACCTTTCTGTTCAAATATCATTAAAAAAAGAAAAAAGAATCACAAATAAATTATACGGAAACCTCTGTTTGATGAAATAGTATATTGTTATGAGAGTGTATTTATATTTATTGCTAAAATAGGTTTTTTTGGAAGATAACATAAGAAAAAACCCTCTTCCCTCACGGTTCCAGTCTGGATCGTAGATAAACAGTATTAGGTGAGTGAGTGAGTTAGGCTTTTACGCCATATTTAGCAATATTCCAGCAATATCACTGCGGGGACACCAGAAATGGGCTTCAGACATTGTATCCACGTGGGGAATCGAACTCGGGTTTTCGGCGTGACGAGCGAATGCTTTAACCACTAGGCTACCCCACCGCCCCAGTAGTAGGTACCCCATAATGACTGCCTATATTGTGCAACAAAGGGTGTACCTTTTGTCAATGTGAGGTTGAAACAATCCCCCACTTGTTTTGCTATTGTGAACATGTGCAAACTTTTTGGAAATGTTTTCTAGAGTTATTGAATGATAAATGTCAACATGTTCACAACATGAAATTGGACCTGCAACTTACTGTGTTTATACTGATGATGTGTTTGATTTAATATTGTTGTTAGCTAAATTCTTCATATATAAATGTAAAGTATTAAAAACTACTGTTAGTTTTAAACATTTTAGACATTATTTACAAGATAGGTATTTTATTGAAAAGAATATATCCTTCAGTAAAAGTGAACAAGATAAGTTTGATAGAAAGTGGATGTTATATCAAAATTTTGCAAATTTTAAATGACTTTATGAATTCTTTCTTCTCGTTCCCTAATGAAAGAAATATATAGGCTGAATGAACTTGAACTTAAACTTACTGTAAATATTTGAAGCTTGTAAGTCTGATTGGTGAGTGAATGTGGTGTGGTGTCTGGTGTTATTGTTTTGTGCTTTGTTAGAAGAAAATCCTGTTTTTCCTGTTATCAATGAAGTTTTGTTGCAAAGGACCTTAGAGTCCCCTGGCTCTATTGCCTTTTCTGTAACAGGGGAGGCAGGAAATAAAAATTATCAATTATGAAAAAAAGGCAGAAAATCATGCATGGTTGACATCACGCTCCACTGTTCTTGTGTCGTGATAAGAATAAAGTGAAACAACAAGGCTTGGTTTGAATATAACTTTTTAATAAACTTCAACATTGTATAATAGGGTCTCTTCCTCGTTTATGCATTATTACACAAAGTAAAACTACGTGAACATAGATACATACTATTCATAATGCTTTAACATTCAGATACGTATACATTCCGACTGCAGTTAATTTCACAAGAAAACTACCCAAGGTGTAATCACCAATTCGCAAAGAGAATACCCAATTTGAAACATGCAAATTGTAATAAAAACATGCAAATTGTAAAAAATGGACAATACTTCTGTCACTTGTTGTTGCTGTTATATTGAAGCACTCAAGGGGAGCTTGTAAAAAGTCCATCACATCTCATGCAACACCACCCTACACGACCGTTGTAATCTACGTGATTTTTCTTTATGATGACTAAATAAACACAAAACAATGAATTTGATCAAGTCATAGCTCTTGAAAATATAACTTTGAATAAAACCTTGGATTGAAGTCTATACCTTAACGAGGTTAATTACAACATCACCACAGCAATCTGTCTACATGATGCAACATGTGAAATTTTTAAACGTAGCATTTGTGTGATTTTAAGTGGCTTAACTTTCATACAATCTCCAGCGGCTGAAGGGATGGTATAAATCCAGCTAGGGTCCATGCAGGTAGCAAAGGTACTGTAAGTCCCCATGGTCCCTAGTATGGTGATCTACCTTTGGTTGCTGGCGATATATAGCCTGTTTTTAATTGTATTGTCCAAATCTGAAATCCTGTTTTAGAGATAGGTTGTAGTTTTATTTTTTGTGTCTGTGATATTCTAGTTGGTTTTACTGTCCTTCGTTGACAGGCTTTTTGTGATTTACATGTATTTATGATGAAGTTAAAAACTAGTTTTAGCCACGATATGGCTGAAATAATGCCAATGTGCCTTTAAATTTTAACTCACTCACTCACTCATGGTGTATATTTATGTTTGTTCTTAAAGTCTACAATAGTCTCTCATAACCCTAAACGGGTAGCTCACTTTTATTCTGTATTATAGCTTATATGTGTCCTGTATTTTACAAGTGAGGTGAGACTCAAATAAATAATCTGTCTGTCTGTCTAATCTGTCTATGAAATTTGGTTTGTCTACGTATCGGACGGACACCGCCCTTACCTGATTTAAATCTCCTCTTCTCGGATGGACTGAGTTGTGTTCCGTGGTCAAACAATGCTAGCAGGGAGGACATCCCTATTGCCTCAGAATCATTCCATCTGCTATTCGTCTTATGTGTTCGTGTTTGATCATGTTATCAAACATACGTAGGTCATCTATAAACGATAAGTTTTCTATAATGAGAACATTTCCTGAAACTTAAAAATCTTGATATTTCCAATTTGCCAATTTTCTTTCGAATTAAAAGTTAAAGCTGTGAAAAAATATCTTTCGATGTGGCTATTAATCGGCTATGAATCCACATGTATATTAAATTTTCTTTAATCTGTTAATTGATCATTGACCGTCACAAAATACCAGCCGTCAATTAGTTTGGGGAAAAAATATATTTGTGTACCACCTACTGATTTCCTTCACTTGAATGGACTGAAGTCCTCTACTTTCCTTTAAATGTTGGGGAAGATTTTATTTTATTGTTTATTTGGCTGATAACTTATATGTTTTCACATGATTATCTGTCGTCAATTCTCATCGGAAGGCGCCAGTTATTTTATTATTTTAATTTCAGATTTAAGCCAGAAAACAACTTTCGCTAATTGTTTCTTGTCGCTTTTGTTCTTTAAAGATAATTTTACTTCATCTTTAGTCCATAAACTGCATCAGAGTCTTGTTTTGTCGCCCTCAGTGATCTGAGGCGTCTCATTTCCCTGTAAGAGTTAAATCCCTAAGTTTGCCAGAAACTTGTGATCGTGGAAGCGAATAATAAATTTGTTATATTTCATATCAAACTGCGCTGTGATATGGCTTTTTCCTCTATATTTTTTCAAACCGACGGCTAAGAGTTGCAAGTGCTTCACACCTGTCGTACCTACTTAACCATATAGGGAACTTGCACATGTTGTTTCATATCACTTTTTCTCCGTCTTTATATGACGTCACATTTATGTTTGCTACTGGTTACAGCTATAATATTCAAGTATCAAAGCAGATGTCACAAGTAAATTCGTCATTAAACATTGATATTTTGTTTGTTTGTTTGTTTGTTGTTTAACACCGTACTTCAACCAATATGACGGCAAGCTGTATACAATCGAATTAGACAATCCAGTGACTAGCTAGCTATAGGTTCTTGAGAGGCATATAGAAGTTGGTATTCAAGTATAAGACAAAATATTATGGATGACAACTTCTTCTTTATTGTACACACGGCGTTTCTGGGCTTTCCCTTGCCTATTCATCATTCAGCTGACGGAGAGACAAGGAAAAGCACAGAAACGTTGTGTGTACAATAAAGAAGAAGTTGACATCCATAATATTCTGTCTTATAATCCAGTGACTGATCCGAACGCATCGATCTACGCTACTTGGAAACACGAAAGCCAGCAAATCACCGACTCTGACAACCCAATTCACTTGCTCGACTCTTACAGCCAGTTGCTTGGCAACTATATTTAACGAAAACTCAGGGATTTTGTTTTACAAAATATATGTACATCCTGCAACTTTATCCACTACTGTACTAGTACTTGCTCAATTCGAATTTGATCAGCCAGGACACATTAGAGAAATGAAGTCCTTCATCAAATAATGGATACCCACATCAAAATGGACCTCGTACTCAAGGCTGAGATCCCTGCTAACATATAAGAACGATTTCCGATGTAGAACTGGTGCAGTCTCAAAATCGTTAAAGTTTGATATCAGCCCAGTAAACATCCCTTTGATGCTACAGGAAATATTTTGTGTCTTTTCCTTTATCACATTGGGAAGTCGTGACGTCATGGGTTTCAACTGAAAGTGGCAGTTGTTCATATTTACACGGGGTCGACCAAGTGGTTAATACGCTCGCTTGTTACGCCACAGACCCGGGTTCGATTCCCCGCATGTGTACAATGTGTGAAGCTCATTTTTGGTGTCCCCCGCTTTGATGCGGCTGTAATATTGCTAAAAGCGGCATAAAACCACACTAACTCACTCACACACATATTTACACAAGTATGATTAAACATCTTCTAATGAACTCTTGAAGAATACACGACAATAGAAATAGAATAGAAATATACTATTCACACTTTGCTAAGGATCAAATCACGGAATCAACAGAAAACTATGATGTGCGGTCAAATTTGGTTTTAATATCTACGCTGATTGTAAGCATGGATCCTAGGTTTCAGTGTGTCATTTCATCTTGTGGATCCCATACCTGCTATTGGCAGGTGTTGTGTACTTGTAAATGACTCGTTCCATGATTTGCAAAATGGTTGATTGGTGCCATGAAAACCATTTTTATGTTTACTCATGTATCAGGTGCATATAAGGTTAGATTAAAGTGTCTGTTTGCCTAGAGAAGAGTTACTATATTATTATTTATCAAGTTTTAAATGGATACAATTTCAAATTATGAATCTACGTTTAAGTAAAGTTGTGAATTTTTGTGATCCTTAGCAAAGTGTGAGTAGTAAATATCTTCATGTACCTACATCAGTACTCTTGTTTTCCTCTCATTCACAGCTGAGATTACATATATTTGCCTTGCATGTAAACTGCCGTGCAAAAGTAAATACCCACTCATATTTTTGGTGAACATGAAACAAACAATAAATCACGTGAATGCGTTTCAAGGAGTGAGTGAGTGAGTTTAGTTTTACGCCGCACTCAGCAATATAACACTCACTTAACTCCCACTATTCGTATTATTAATTCTTATATTACATTTGATTTAATACTGTGCGGTAATAATGCGATAAAAGGTGTATGAAAGCATTAATACGTCATAACCAAATCGAAATTTCCCGGAATCTTTTCTGACACAATGAGTCTTTGTTCGAGATTTACAAACGTGCTTCATGCTCAATCAAAGGGAGACAACTCTTTATTGACACAAGGGATTTGTGGCAGTACGAGTGCTGTCCCTTCCCTGTTTCCGATCGATTTGAGCGCTCGGTGCCTCCAGACAATAGACCCTTGTACAGTGTAAGACATGTCATACAGACCTTAAAGCATGTATCCAATACAGGCCGAGCAAGTCCATAATGGTTGGCAGGTCTAGCTTACTGAAAGTTCCGTTTCTGATTTAAATGACCTCTCTGGATTCCTTTTTATTATGTTAAAACGTATTCGAGATCATTAGGAATTGTTTGTTTTTTCTGTAAAATATTTGATTGTTTGGACTGGATATGAGTCGGTGGATGAGCCAGAAGTTGTAAAAGGAACACTACGTGTACAGACAGGTACGAGGTAAGAGACCAGAGTGCTGTTTCAAATGTCACGCCGAAGGACAGGGTTCGAATCCACTCCAAGGGGGGATCCAGGAATTTGGAGGTGTGTGTGTGTGTGTGTGTGTGTGTGTGTGTGTGTGTGTGTGTGTGTGTGTGTGTGTGTGTGTGTGTGTGTGTGTGTGTGTGTGTGTGTGTGTGTGTGTGTGTGTGTGTGTGTGTGTGTGTGTGTGTGTGTGTTTTTCAGGGGGTTTGAACCCCCACTGGCCAACGCCAAACAAATCTTCATGGTGGTGTTCAGTCATTTTCAAAGGTGTGTGTGTGTGTGTGTGTGTGCTTGTTTCCAACCCCCTGAAGCCCCCCCCCCTCTGGATTCGCCAATGCACTCCTGGTACAATATGACTGGGGTGCTTCTAAAATTAAAGTATACACAAGGGACATGCACCAAAACACGTTGAACTGATGGCGCCTGTCAGCGCGCTAGTCGCCATTCTTTCGGAGACACTTACATCTCCCTGTCATAATGAGTTTGCGTACATTTATTCATCGCAAACAGAATTGTGCCGTGCCCGTTCGCCATTGGCGACCTTGGACTTAACCTGTCCCGCACTTAAAAGAATCAGCGATTTGATGGGACAATATTTATTTTTAGCCAATGAGCTCCCTTGCTCTTTTACGTGCGGGACCTTGTTTTTTTGGTTGGTTGGTTGGTTTTATAGTTTTAGGGCGACGTGGGCCAATAAGAGGCATATTTGCGCCCAACACATTGACTTGATTTAATAAACAATCATAGGTAATTTCATCTCCAAAAGGAATCGTTTAGTTAAGATAAAAGAAACGACAACACTATTAATATTAATTTGGAAAGATGTATACGTATGTCGAATAACCTCCGTTTTGTGTTACGGATTCAAAACCTTAAGTAATCACTTCCATTTCTGAAACATGAAATACTCATTCATTAAAAAGCAGTAGGTTCAGATGACAGAGTGTTAAAATGATTTAAAACCACAGAACTAAATCTGTCTAAGCCATTCGAGAGCCTGTCTAGATTAAATCATATCTTCCACATGACGAGACAAAATCTAAAACTGCCCGTTGCACAGAGCCATACATGATATTGGGGTCTAAAACTGTTTCTAATGAAAATACATCATCAACCTTAAGTACAGCACCTCTGAGATTATGTCTTATGTTGTTATGCCCAGGGCATGTAATTAGATACTGTTCGATGTTTTCAGGCGTCTCCAAATTGCAATGGCCACATTTAGAAGAGACCGTCTTCTCTATAATACTCCTGTAAGCATTTAGTCCACAGTGTCCAAGTCTGAGACGTGAAAGAATAACCTCATCAGGCCTTTTACGACGACGAATTTTATGACCAGATTTTAGTGATGGTCTAAGTTTGTACATATGTCGGCCGGTAGTACCTGTATCCCACAACTGTTGCCAACTCCTTGTAACAGATTTCGATACAACATTTTCAAAATCTTTAGGTGATTGGTTGCAATTTTAATAAATCAACTTCAGGAAACTGTAACCCGGATTTGGCCAAATTATCTGCAATCTCATTCCCATGTATGCCAACATGTGCTGGGACCCACACAATGTCGCATGCAATGTACTTCATGTTTAAAGATGTATTCACCTATAATATCTCATGAACGATGTCATCTGAAGATCCATTTGCACCAGCTTCTATAGCTTTGATTGCTGCCATGGACTCTGTAAAGATAATTGCTTCATGATCATGTTCAGCTACCCATATCAGTGCTTGCAAAATGGACAAAAGTTCAGCTGCAAAAACAGAAAGATAATCAGGGAATCTGAACACCTTAGCGATCGATAAATTGGGTATCCAAAAAAGATCCAGCAGTACGATCATTGGATGGTTCTTTCGATGCATCAGTGTATATATGTGTGAAATTAGAATAATTTTCAGACAGAAAGTCTTGAGTTATCACTTTTATTATGTTTTGGTCCATTCTCTTATTCACGATTAAATTGAGTTCAGAATTCAATCCAGGCTTCAGCAGAAGCCACGGAGGTGTGACAGGCGGAGCAGAAGGATCAACTGGGTTACAGTTGTAAATACCATGTTGATCAGCTAATCTCTGAATATTCAAGCCAAAGGGTAATTTGCCATGAGTTCAGTCACACATGACATATTCCACACAGTCATTAACAATCTCAGTGACTGCATGGTGTTTGTTCTTGGTTTTCATTTTAAAGAAATATTTCAAAGATACCTGTTGCCTTCGAAGGTGAAGGGGCATTTCTGTTCTCCTTCCCAACAGAGCTCACTCCAAATAGAAACACAACACATTCAGAACATTGGAACGGCCGCTCGGCGACACATGGCAGATTTATTTCGTTTGACTAAATCCTCATATAAACCACATTCCAGCAAAATTCAGCACTTACAGTACAACCAGAAATTATTGAGAATTTAAAGATTGTAATTTTTTTATTTTTTGCACTCATTACTCACGTAGTAAATGCGAATATAAGCAGAACATAATTCCAGATTCAAAGACAGGTGAACAGTAAGTATTTTGTCAAATCACCATGAGCAGCAATGCAGGCTTTAATGCGGCGGGACATACTACTGATCAAAGAAGTTAGAAAGTCGTGGTCCATGCTGTCCCAATATCGGACCACCTCTTCTTTTATTTCAGCAATATTTGTCAGATTTTTCTTATTGACACTTTCCTTCATAAGTCCCCAAACATTTTCTATTTGATTTAGGTCAGGGCTATAGCTTGGCCGATCTAATAAAGTCATATTTTGGGTCCGAAACAAGGCCTGTGATTGCTTTGAACGATGTTTTGGGTCGTTGTCCTGCTGGAAAATCCAAAAATTTCAATAGAAAAATTTCCATTACAAACGTGCTTCATGCTCAATCAAAGGGAGACAACTCTTTATTGACACAAGGGATTTGTGGCAGTACGGATGCTGTCCCTTCCCTGTTTCCGATCGATTTGAGCGCTCGGTGCCTCCAGACAATAGACCCTTGTACAGTGTAAGACCTGTCATACAGACCTTAAAGCATGTATCCAATACAGGCCGAGCAAGTCCATAATGGTTGGCAGGTCTAGCTTACTGATGGTTCCGTTTCTGATTTAAATGACCTCTCTGGATTCCTTTTTATTATGTTAAAACGTATTCGAGATCATTAGGAATTGTTTTTTATTTCTGTAAAATATTTGATTGTTTGGACTGGATATGAGTCGGTGGGTGAGCCAGAAGTTGTAAAAGGAACACTACGTGTACAGGTACGAGGTAAGAGACCAGAGTGTTGTTTCAAATGTCACGCCGAAGGACAGGGTTCGAATCCACTCAATGGGCGGATCCAGGAATTTTTAAGGGGTGGGGGCCGGGGGGTTTCAGGGGGTTTGAACCCCCACTGGCCAACGCCAAACAAATCTTCAATGTGGTGTTAAGTCATTTTCAAAGGTAGGTGTGTGTGTGTGTGTGTGTGTGTCTGTCTCTCTCTCTCTCTCTCTCTCTCTCTCTCTGTGTGTGTGTGTGTGTGTGTGCGTGTGTGTGCGCGTGTGTGTGTGTGTTTGTGTCCAACCCCCTGAAGCCCCCCTCTGGATTCGCCAATGCACTCCTGGTACAATATGACTGGGATGCTTCTAAAATGTAAAACCGATTTAAAACGGTAATCACACTCGTTCTAAACTGGAAATTAACATATTTGGTATTGCACATTCTCAGTTAGGTACAGGTTCTCGTACTCTTTTGGGTTGGTCTCGAATCCGGGATTCGAAACCACATGTCAGAGTAAGCCATCTAATCGCCAGCACACAGGGTCAGTGATCTAACCTCTCAGCCATACATGAGTGCATGAGTAGTTTTTTGTCGCTTTTAGCAATATTCCAACAATATCTCTGCGGGGACACCAGAAATGGGTTTCACACATTGTACACATGTGGGGAATCGAACCCGGGTCTTCGGCGTGACGAGCGAACGCTTTAACCACTTGGCTACAAACTCCAAATTGCAATGGCCACATTTAGAAGAGACCGTCTTCTCTATAATACTCCTGTAAGCATTTAGTCCACAATGTCCAAGTCTGAGACGTGAAAGAATAACCTCATCAGGCCTTTTACGACGACGAATTTTATGACCAGATTTTAGTGATGGTCTAAGTTTGTACATATGTCGGCCGGTAGTACCTGTATCCCACAACTGTTGCCAACTCCTTGTAACAGATTTCGATACAACATTTTCAAAATCTTTAGGTGATTGGTTGCAATTTTAATAAATCAACTTCAGGAAACTGTAACCCGGATTTGGCCAAATTATCTGCAATCTCATTCCCATGTATTCCAACATGTGCTGGGACCCACACAATGTCGCATGCAATGAACTTCATGTTTAAAGATGTATCCAGCTTTAATATCTCATGAACAATGTCATCTGTAGATCCATTTGCACCAGCTTCTATAGCTTTGATTGCTGCCATGGACTCTGTAAAGATAATTGCTTCATGATCATGTTCAGCTACCCATATCAGTGCTTGCAAAATGGACAAAAGTTCAGCTGCAAAAACAGAAAGATAATCAGGGAATCTGAACACCTTAGCGATCGATAAATTGGGTATCCAAAAAGATCCAGCAGTACGATCATTGGATGGTTCTTTCGATGCATCAGTGTATATATGTGTGAAATTAGAATAATTTTCAGACAGAAAGTCTTGAGTTATCACTTTTATTATGTTTTGGTCCATTCTCTTATTCACGATTAAATTGAGTTCAGAATTCAATCCAGGCTTCAGCAGAAGCCACGGAGGTGTGACAGGCGGAGCAGAAGGATCAACTGGGTTACAGTTGTAAATACCATGTTGATCAGCTAATCTCTGAATATTCAAGCCAAAGGGTAATTTGCCATGAGTTCAGTCACACATGACATATTCCACACAGTCATTAACAATCTCAGTGACTGCATGGTGTTTGTTCTTGGTTTTCATTTTAAAGAAATATTTCAAAGATACCTGTTGCCTTCGAAGGTGAAGGGGCATTTCTGTTCTCCTTCCCAACAGAGCTCACTCCAAATAGAAACACAACACATTCAGAACATTGGAACGGCCGCTCGGCGACACATGGCAGATTTATTTCGTTTGACTAAATCCTCATATAACCACATTCCAGCAAAATTCAGCACTTACAGTACAACCAGAAATTATTGAGAATTTAAAGATTGTAATTTTTTTATTTTTTGCACTCATTACTCACGTAGTAAATGCGAATATAAGCAGAACATAATTCCAGATTCAAAGACAGGTGAACAGTTAGTATTTTGTCAAATCACCATGAGCAGCAATGCAGGCTTTAATGCGGCGGGACATACTACTGATCAAAGAAGTTAGAAAGTCGTGGTCCATGCTGTCCCAATATCGGACCACCTCTTCTTTTATTTCAGCAATATTTGTCAGATTTTTCTTATTGACACTTTCCTTCATAAGTCCCCAAACATTTTCTATTTGATTTAGGTCAGGGCTATAGCTTGGCCAATCTAATAAAGTCATATTTTGGGTCGAAACAAGGCCTGTGATTGCTTTGAACGATGTTTTGGGTCGTTGTCCTGCTGGAAAATCCAAAAATTTCAATAGAAAAATTTCCATTACAAACGTGCTTCATGCTCAATCAAAGGGAGACAACTCTTTATTGACACAAGGGATTTGTGGCAGTACGGATGCTGTCCCTTCCCTGTTTCCGATCGATTTGAGCGCTCGGTGCCTCCAGACAATAGACCCTTGTACAGTGTAAGACCTGTCATACAGACCTTAAAGCATGTATCCAATACAGGCCGAGCAAGTCCATAATGGTTGGCAGGTCTAGCTTACTGATGGTTCCATTTCTGATTTAAATGACCTCTCTGGATTCCTTTTTTATGTTAAAACGTATTCGAGATCATTAGGAATTGTTTTTTATTTCTGTAAAATATTTGATTGTTTGGACTGGATATGAGTCGGTGGGTGAGCCAGAAGTTGTAAAAGGAACACTACGTGTACAGGTACGAGGTAAGAGACCAGAGTGTTGTTTTTCAAATGTCACGCCGAAGGACAGGGTTCGAATCCACTCAATGGGCGGATCCATGAATTTTAAGGGGTGGGGGCCGGGGTTTCAGGGGTTTGAACCCCACTGGCCAACGCCAAACAAATCTTCATTGTGGTGTTAAGTCATTTTCAAAGGTGTGTGTGTGTGTGTGTGTGTGTGTGTCTCTCTCTGTGTGTGTGTGTGTGTGTGTGTGTGTGTGTGTGTGTGTGTTTGTGTCCAACCCTGAAGCCCCTCTGATTCGCCAATGTACTCCTGGTACAATATGACTAGGATGCTTCTAAAATGTAAAACCGATTTAAAACGGTAATCACACTCGTTCTAAACTGGAAATTAACATATTTGGTATTGCACATTCTCAGTTAGGTACAGGTTCTCGTACTCTTTTGGGTTGGTCTCGAATCCGGGATTCGAAACCACATGTCAGAGTAAGCCATCTAATCGCCAGCACACAGGGTCAGTGATCTAACCTCTCAGCCATACATGAGTGCATGAGTAGTTTTTTGTCGCTTTTAGCAATATTCCAACAATATCACTGCGGGGACACCAGAAATGGGTTTCACACATTGTACACATGTGGGGAATCGAACCCGGGTCTTCGGCGTGACGAGCGAACGCTTTCACCACTTGGCTACCTCACCCCCACTAACTGACGATAACAAATTTCGCTAAATTAAAATGGTCAGTGCTTCTGGTAATGAATTTGGGAAGTCGTTGTCGTACACAACACTAAATCAACCTTCAAAGCTAAAATTCTTTGTTCATGAACGTAAATCTACAATGAAATATATGTTTCAATTCATTTCCCGTCTTACGTATCAACCTTGTTTTTGATTTACCACGCGATTACCTCCCTTATTGAAATTGATAAACAATGGCTTCCACAGTGTACGGGAGAAGTTGCCTATTCTGGCCGAAACAACTCCATCCTGCATACTCTTTGTGATGAATCGGCTGGTGGAGGCTGTCTCCTGTGTATGGAAGCCGTTTCTTGTATGGAAGCCGTTTTTTGTATGGAAGCCGTTTCTGCTGGAATATTGTTAAAACCATACTCAACCACACTCTCTCACTTTGTGGACCTCTCATTTTGCGATAAAACTTGCTAAAAACGCCGTTCATTATGGATTTAAATAGAACATTACTAAATAACTACACGACATCAAGGTTTTGGAGAATTAACGGATGGAAGAACTAACAGATGGAAGAACTTACAGATGGAAAAAACAGCATGGAATATGTTCCCTATATTCATTCATTATTTCAACCGTCAGACCGAAATTCGTTGCTGAGAGTTGCCGTTCTTGATAGTGGCTGGATCCAACGATGGAAAGTCAACAGCTGCTGTCTATGACATGTTAGAAACGATTGTTTAAAAGGTTAAAATCACATCCATTTAAAAAAAACTGTTTCCCCGCCATTATTGCATTAAACCGTTTTACAAATGTCATGCATTTCTTCGTTTAAATACAACAAAAACTGAACGAATATAACGAACTACTGAAACAAATGTGACGCCCTATAAAAACTGTTTTACAAGAAAAATATATATACATGTATGCACTTTCAAGGCCGTGTGCAGTGTACGTGGACGTTCTATACAATTACCCATGCGGTAATATTACATTTACCACTTACACCAACACAGATTGTTTCAGGAAACTGTAGACCAAATAAGAAATGCATGGATTTCCCATAAACCCCTATGTCACAAGAAACACGACCATTAACAGGACAAGAAGCCCGTTGTCGACTGATAGCTGCAAATCATGCATATGAATGCATTCTATTGTCCAGAACAACTGCTTCATGCATGATGTGTTATTGCAGCGCTGGTCTGACTTCTTTTTTATTCTTTTCATCAATACATATTAATCATTAATCGTTGTCGACAACTGCTGGAGACGTGAGCTGCACAGATACTCCGTCACTTTGCAGCAGAAATCTGGGTGAGTATTTCTGATTGCAGTCTTTATTTTATCCTGATTCTTAAACATTTGCTGATTTTAACAATTGGGGACATCTCGAACGAATGACGGGACAGAATGTGTCACAAAAAGCTGTTAACACTGACTGGAAGGCGAATCTTGCTGCTACAGTGTGATCTTTTAAATGGCAATGACTGATCATGAATGAGTGTTTGCACTCAGCAATATTCTAGCTTTACAGCGACGGTCTGTAAATAATCCAATCTGAACCAGACAATCCAGTGACAGATAGGGCTGGCTATCGATATAGATAAATTACTCGTTAACTAAATATCGATCGATTATCGTTAAATATCGGAGTCTCATCTTTCAGCAAAAGTGCCAGAAATGTCTGAAAGAAATGAATATAAACTCTTCAGAAAACAATAAACGCACAGGCTTTTTCAGCAGTTCACTTCGATATATTTGTACAGCAATGGTCACTAAGACAATCCCTATGTTTGAATTCTGTTAATCATGTCGTGGTTGTTGCGCGCAGACGCATCCCAAAATTTGTTTAAACGAAGAAAAAAATACCAAGACACGTCAACGTCCACAACAGCACCATATCTCGATTATGGCATCGACATACCCGCTTCGATTCGATCCAAGATCCAGAAGTGGAAGACCAAGAGTGTCCATTCCTGCTCAGGACAGATCATCCGGGTGCTTCAACTACGTCACCGATTTGCTACAGCAATGGACACTGCAGGGCAGGTGCCTGGTCTTCGAAGAATTTCCGACCAAACCTTCAGATATCGTATGAGAGAAGTGTGAATTCGAGCAAAGTTGGACCTCTCCTGACACCACTAAACCGACAACGACGTGTCCAATGGTGCAACAGGCTACAGGCATGGAACCTGGGGAAATGGCGACGCGTTTGGTTCAGCGATGAGGATGAGCCGCGTTTGCCCCTGCAACGACGTTAGGGAGACAACGTGTCTATCAACGTCGACACGAAAGTTTTGCACCGAACTGCGTTTTGACACGTGGACAGATTTGGTGGAGAATGCGTCATGGTGTGGGGAGCCATGTCCTACACGTGTAGGTCAGAGCTAGTGGTGGTTCAAGGCAGTCCTACAGCAACTCCTGCGACCTCACCTCATCCCACTTTACAACCGCCAGGAGGAGCTGTTTCATCACGAAGACGCTCGTGTAACAGGTGCCTATCTCGCCAATACAAACGTCAATGTCATTCCCTAGCCTGCCAAATCGCCTCATCTGAACCCGATCAAGCATCTATGGGACGAACGTGATCAACGCGTCCGTAAACAGCGCCATAGCCCTCAGACTGGTTACCCATAATCAACAGTTTGGTTGGCCCATTGTTAGTCAACTGACGATGGGCCACTTGATATGCTCATCGGCTCCACAGTGGCCCATCATGTTGGCTAATTATTGGGCCAACGAATGAAAATTCACACAAAACCATGGCCCATAGTTGGCCCAACGTAGTGATTTGGTTGGCCTTATGTTGGCACCACCGTGTTTCAACATTTAGCTCTTTCTTGACCTTTGTACTAAACCATGGCCCATACTTGGCCCAACGATGTGATTTAGTTGGCTTTTATGTTGGCACAACTGTATTTCCAACATTTAGCTCTTTTCCTGACCTCTTCAATCAGAAACATATATGAACAACACAACAAGGTAATCAAGTGAACTATTTGAATTCTTTTTCCATTGTTATTTGAACATTATTGTATTTCTTGAAAATATTCTTGTTTTAGGTCTTTTGGCTGTCGCCGCTGACAGTTTTTTCGAACTGCTCCTGAAAAAAAACAACCCAGAAATTTCATGATACTGTCCGATATCTATCGTTAAAGGACATAGTATTTGGCCTTATGTTTTATTTGAAACATACCATGTACAACTTAATGATTGAAAACTTCTTGTTTATTGCACAGAGTGACGTTCGGATGTAGATTCTTACACTGTTATGAAGCTAAAACCAAATGATGAGAAGTATATATGCGTAGTATGTTTTGACAATCAGCAGATTGACAGTAACAAGAACATGTAATTGAATAACAACTGGTACATTATTGGGAGAGGGCAGATGGGGACTAAGAACAACAAATGACAAATGGAATGGTGATGAAGCCAATAAACGTGTGTGTGTGTGTGTGTGTGTGTGTGTGTGTGTGTGTGTGTGTGTGTGTGTGTGTGTGTGTGTGTGTGTGTGTGTGTGTGTGTGTGTGTGTGTGTGTGTGTTTTGTGTTAGTCTCTAGTGAAATCAAACAGACTATGAGTTGGTGGGTTACTGGTTGAGGCTCGTGAAGACATGTTGTAGGTGGTTCCGCTCATGTTCTAGGTCATGGCTGCTGGAGCAATGTTCTTAGCGAGCTTGATCAGGGTTGAGATGACGCCAAACTTAGTTTTAGGGGGCTGGTTTAACAAATTCGAAATCTTATCCACCAAGAATCAGGACTGCACAAAAAGAAAACTTTTGGAAGCCATCAAAATCAGCCGCCACAAACCTTTGATCAATAGAGACCAAGGATACTACATACCATTGGGATATGAAGAACTAATCAAACTATAGACTCTTCCAAATCACCCTATCAGGTTGTTACACCCTAACACTCCACCTCCCTCCCTTGTTAATTGGTTTCATCACTAGATCCATTTGTTGTTCTTAGTCCCCAACTGGCCGCTCCCAATTATGTTTATTTGACAAAACATACTATGTACATGTATATATACTTCTCATCATTTGGTTGTAGTCACTTTTAGCTTGATAACGGTGTAAGAATCTACATCGAAACGTCGCTCTATACAATAAACAAGAAGTTGTCATCCATAGAGTTGTATGTTTCATTTTTGACTCACCAACTTCTAGAATGCTGTTCAAACAATGTTTTATTTGGATATAACGTGTAACTACTAGAACTGTGACACATATATCTGATATGATGATGTTTAGCAATTATTGGTTGTAAAGATGAATAATAGAGAGAGTTGTATATGGAAACAGGAGTGTAACTGACAAACACATAATGTTAATAATGTAAACACAATAAATGTAAATAATTTAAAATGAAATGAGATTTATCAAAGTGGTTAAAACAGGCTACCTACCGAAAAGAGTCAATTAAATCTTTGATCTACTGAATCAATTGCCTTTCAATACGGTATGTGTCAGTTTCTTTAGCCTAAATGATGATTTTAATTAATTATTTCACAATATATTCGCAATTCAGTATCACAGAAATAACAATGCATATTTACCAGTTGAAGGCCTCCAGAAATGTAGTGTCGTCTGCTCTTTTGATATTAGGTAAAGCTATCAATGATGACAAGTTTGGTATTCAATTTGGAGAAAACAATGCTGTAATATTCACTGCATCATAGTTAAAAAACAGGGAAATGGATTCTTTCTTTTTGTCCGTGGAATTATTTCAACTTTCATCAAAATCTTTATAAGAAAACATTGCTAAAAATGGCCGTGTGCTCACTCTTTTATTCACAATGTTGGGCCAACGGTGGCCCAACTTTGTGAAACAGATGTAAGATCAGGGAACATAGGCAGAGTTTTTCAAATGTTGGCCCACTGTTGGACCAACGTGTCAAAAGCCACCGTTACTTTTAAGTCATTAAGATAACGTTGGGCCAATGTTGTCAAACTGTTGGCCAACCAACCATATACCAACATTGGCCCAACACACCTTTGCTATCTGGGGACTGACTAACTGACTGACTGAGTTTGGTTTTTACGCCGCTTTTAGCAATATCCCAGCAACATCACGGCGGGGGACACCAGAAATGGGCTTCGCACATTGTACCCATGTGGGGATTCGAACCCGGGTCTTCGGCGTGACGAGCCAACGCTTTAACCACTAGGCTACCCCACCGCCCCTTAGCCCTCAGACACTTGCAGAACTTGCCAATGCGTTGCAGAAGGAATGGCGAAGAATTCCCCAAGCAAAATTCCGACAAGATGTGCAATTCCTTTCAAGGCGGTGTCGAGCAGTGATGGCTGCAAGGGGTGGTGTCACCAGGTACTGACCTGAACGCCCCCACCCCCCAACCCCACCTGTGTCCACACAGATGCAGTGAGTGAACTGAATTAATGTTGACAATGACAGCAATACATATGTTCATCCGAGTGTCGAATTTCTTCATCTTAATTTGCTCAAGCTTAATCGACTTGTATGAAAATCAGTGTTATTTTAAAATGAGCAATTATCGTGATAAAATCAACATGGATTCCAATCATATTGTTCTTATTTTTATGAGTCAACGATCATACAGGTCCATTTTTCCATTTGTTGTCACTACGAGACGTGTTATGTACGTGTTGAAAACCTATCATTGCAAAAATACAGGGGGTGCTTAATTAAGTTCTTTGTGTATAGATAGGTATCGAAACAGAGAAGAAACATTTCAGGTTGAAAAGACCTCTTATCGCCTTCTAGTAAACTCTGTCAAAAAGAAACGCCACCCCTGTCCTCAGATATTAAAATTTCGTTTGAATAAAGTTATTGCTTCCAAACGAAATTTCATTCAAATGTAGTGAAATTATACACGTATTTAATGAAGATTACCATCCAAACAACTGTATTTTCACGCATAAGTGTATTTTATTGCTTATTCCGTCACAACACATGAAATGACCCTGGTGACTTCGCACAAAAAAACAAATGCACGTGCAAATCATGAAAATGGCAGTTAATGTAGGGGTGTATAAAAGCCCATGTGCTTTCGTACTTTATTGATTCATTTGTCGCCGAAAAGCAGTGTTAAAAATGCCACGATTGAGTGCTGCCGACCGAAATATCGCCATTGGTCGTGTTCAAGCCGGAGAAAGTTTTGGAACTTTTGCACGGCACCTAAATGTTCACAAAACAACGATATCCCGACTTTGGAGCCGCTACAACAACTTCAATTCGACCAACGATCGCCCGAGAAGTGGAAGGCCAAGAAGCACGACCCCCCTTCAAGATCGGTACATCCGGGTCCATCACCTGCGTAATCGGCATGCCCTACCAGCCGTGACTGCCACACAAATACAAGGTTTGAGGAGAGTGTCAGCTCGAACGATTAGGAACCGTCTGAAAGAAGCGGGTTTACGTGCCTGTAGACCAGTTGTTGGACCTGTACTACGCCCCCTACATCGACGCCGACGACTCAGGTGTTGCAACAACGTAAGGATATGGACTTTACAAAACTGGAGGCGCATCTGTTTTTCTGATGAATCACGTTTTCTTTTGCAACGTCACGACGGAAGACAGCGTGTGTATAGGAGACGTCATGAACGTTTTGCGCCCATCTGCGTCCGACAGGTGGACAGATTTGGCGGAGAAAGCGTTCTGGTTTGGGGAGCCATCTTATACAACCAGAAATCAGACTTGGTGATCGTTCCAGGGAACCTGACAGCCCAGCGTTACATCAACCACGTGTTACAGCCTCACCTTCTCCAGATTATTGACCAACAGACACAGATTTTTCAACAGGACAACGCCCGGCCTCATACTGCACGTGCAACAATGAACTTTCTGCAGAATTCCAACGTCAATGTCTTGCTATGGCTCTCTAAATCACCAGACCTGAACCCTATTGAACACCTGTGGGATACTCTGGATCGACACGTACGTCAACGTCAGCCGCCGCCACAGACGCTGCAACAGCTCGCCGTTGCACTGCAGGAGGAGTGGAGAGCCATTCCCCAGGAGAGAATCCGGCGTCTTATCCGTTCTTGTCCAAGGAGATGCCGTGATTGCAGCTCGTGGTGCTCATACGAGATACTGAGAAAGACGCCCCCTGGTGACAAACTGGTGTCTGTGAGATGATTTTTTAAATGACAATATTAAACATGACCATCTTGGTTATTATTCTGCCAAATTTCAGACTTCTGTCTTAAATAATAAAAATGCTGTGTCGTCTTAAAACTTAAGATTAAAATCTCTAAAATACAGGGGTTGCGTTTCTTTTTTGACAGAGTTTTATATCCAGCATTTTAGAAGCCGTGCCGTCCAGTACCTCTAAGACAATCCTGTCATAGCCTCGCCTTCAACAAGGGCAGATAACTTTATTTCTAACTCCAAACAATTCTGGATCATCAGCAGGTGGACCTTTAGACAGCCGGAGAAGCCACGCGTGTTGTCCTTCGCTGTCGGGGGCTATATATCAAAGTTTCACTCGTTTGTGTTATATCAGGATTAAATATCATGAAGGTCGATTTACATTACTGTCAGCATTAAATATTGGCTTTTTTTGCCATATTTACTATCGTTCGGTGTATGTGTGTGTGTCTCTCTCTCACTGTGTGTGTGCGCGTGCGTGCGCGCGTGTGTGTATGTTGTAGCACATGCTTCTCGCCCCATGTGGCTGGTGCTGTCAGATGGCGTTGTGGGTGCTGTTGAGGAGAGGTGGGCCTTCTTTCACATAGCACTAAGGTGATCGTGAGTCACTAGGTACCTTAGTGCAATGTTAAAGAATGGGATATTCATAAGACTTTGAAGAAACATCAACCGACGCTGAATTTGCAGAAAGACATTATAACTTAATGGTAGAAAAAAACCACTAGCACCAAAATATTACTACAAGTAAAACTAACTCCATTTCTAATGCTCCTTTAAAGTTTGTGCTGTTCATTTCGCCTGTTGATCCGAGATTGAGGCTTACAAACTTAAGTTCAATTTCGTAGGCTCGAGATGTACGGAAAATAATTGGTGAAGTTGAATTCATGTGATTTGGTGAGACATTGTAAATCATTAAGCTTTGCGAATATACGGGTGCCTTTGTAACTATCCCAGTTTCAGCTCGCCAGGTTAATTATTATTTAGAAATTCCTCTTCGTCTTCATCGTGAACTTGTGTCCCTCAAGTATTATCTGGAACTGAACTCTAAAACCAACTAAAATTCAGCTAATGATATTGTAAATGACTGTGCTGAGTATGCGATTTCCGACAGGTCACATGGCAAAGTACTTTTGGTTTGAGTATTCAGACACATGCCGCTAAACATTTAGTTTTAAAGTGCAATCCAGTTGATTCCTCTGCACCTCCAGATACTGCTCCTTGGCTGCTTCTGCAACCAGGTCTTCGTAATGATCCGAATTCAACCATTAATATAAGAACGAGTCCAAATGTTATAAAAGTGTCTCAGGATTTTATAAATGAACGTTATACCAACTTCACTCACATATTTACTGATGCCTCAAAGGTTTCGGGCTTGGTTCAAACTGCTGGGGGTATATTGGATTCCAGCTTTTCACATCTCAGATGTGCTCAGGATAAATGACCATGTCTCAGTATTTGCTGCTGACCCTATAGCTGTTCTTCAAGCCCTGTGGTGGGTAAATGAATAATGATCACGAGGCCGTTATATACTGAACAACAAAAGTTTAGCACATTTTTGTAACATCTATATACAAAAGAATGATATGAGACAAAATACTGAAATTTTGCCCCAACGTGAACACATGATGACACACTTGAGTGCCATCAAACTTTACTCGATTGTTGGACCGTTGTAAAAACCAGGATGGTGCACGTGAATATCGTGTTTATGCCCATCGGCAGAAAAATCATGCAAACTTGGGTGTATAAAATGGTTGATATGACACACTGGAGTAACAGTGTACAGAAACCTCAAAGACTTGTTCAGTTGGAAGCATGGGTCGTCGGCCTAGAATGCCAGAAAATCAACGCAATGAAGCCCTCTGACGACTACGTGCTGGCCAGCAAGTAAGAGACGTCGCCAGGCACTTCCACGTGCATTACAGCACAATTATTCGTCTGTGGCAACGGGTCCAACAAACTGGCCAAGTTAGAGGCCGACCAAGGTCAGGAAGGCCTCGTTCTACCACCCCACGGGAAGACCGCCACATTGTGACGTCATCATGACGACACAGGTTAACAAGCGCCCCACGTCTGGCCAACGAGCTGCGGCAAGCTACGGGTACACGGCAAGCTACGGGTACACGGCAAGCTACGGGTACACGGCAAGCACGTGGAGCCCACACATGCTATTAACTCGTTTTTGTCATTTGGAACGTTTCACCCCTACCCTGCAACGTGTAACGTCAGCTTGACGTCCTGGATTGAACACGTCTTTTGACACTTCCATTGTGCTGTCAAATGGTCACTCTATTTCTATGCGTAATGCATTATAGCATCAAGTGTTACTTGTTGAAAATTATATACAATTTCCAAAATGTGCTAAACTTTTGTTGCTCAGTATATATACTGACTCAATGGAAGCCGTTAAGGCAATCGAATCTGGTACCAGTGGTTCAAGAAGTGACATTGTTTATGAAATACTAAAGCTGGATGCATTTCTGAACTCAAAGTATATTACTTGTGATACTGTGTGGATATCAGCTCATGTTGAGTTTCATAGAAATGAGATAGCAGACCAACTTGCGAAATCTGGATTGCAAATTCCGGAAGTAACGATATCGGCATTCAGAACCAAATCAAACGATTTCGTCTGCATATTAATAAAATCCTTCACCTCAAGCTGACAAAAGTTGTGGGAGGCTCAGACTGCTGGTCGACCGACACATGCACCCACTTTGTCCTCATGTGAAAAAAGGAGACAATTCGTCGACGTGAGAAACGCGAAGAAGTCATAATCACTAGACTTCGTCTTGGACACTGTGGGTTTAATGCTTACCGCAGTGTCACCGATAAAGAGGTCTGTCCCGTATGAACACATTGTGTACACATACTCCTGAGACAGTGGAATATTATTTAATTGAATGCCCAGGCTACAATGATATCGGATTAGGTTTAAGAAGTGCAGTGCTTGAGAAGGAAAGATCATTTTCTCTTTTGGAAATAAACATATTTTATGCTTCGATTTGTCTGCAAAATTTGATATATTATAGAATTTGATGGACACATAGATCTGTATTGACTTTTAAACCATTTTAACGGTTCTGGTTTTTTTATCTGCTATTTCATTGATAGTAATCGTAATTACTTGCGGTTTTAGAATATAAACTATATCATGAAGCAGGTTGATAAATCATCTCCTTTGCATTACCCTGTTTGTTCTCGTTTAAAGCCATTTGGTGTATTAGGCGCATACCTTTAAACGTCCAAGTCCCCCTTAAACCCAAATACCAAACAGACCCGTTTGCCGACCCCGGTGCTGTTCGAATCTTGAGCTACAACACTCGATTGTTTTACAACCAGTCGATCATGTCTACGTCGCTATAGCCTATGCACATGTACATTGTTGTCTTTATTGTTTATTTTATGTTTCAGGTTATAATGCTGTCTTGGAATTTGAGGCTTTGTGTGTCTATCATATATGCAGGTACGTCAATCAGTCCGTCAACCAATGAACCAGTCTACCATACATAACCAAACAATCGATCATAGATAGGAATCGAACACCCATCCATGCAAGTTGAATTTCAAGACAGGCTAAATCACTAAATCATAACCGATGTTTCTCATCTGAGTCAGGCTCAGAAACACTTCCTCTGATATTCCTTTCAATTCAGAAGCATACTCTGAAGAATTGACCAGATAGTTCTTAATTGTCACGTACTGGAAGGGTAGCATTACCCGAACCAACGCTATGTGATGTATGAGCTTGGCCCCCAAGGAAATATCACAAGTCTATGATCATTTAGCTTGAGAATTATTCAGATCTTCTTTATGGTCTTAACACATGTTTTGATTGTCATTGTCGACGCGTTGTCGTAAAGGTAAATTGATCAGCGCAGAAAGGACATGCATTAGCAAGAACGCCCTGGAGATATATCAGCAAGCTTGAATTGTTTTCTTGTGTATTTTTAATTATCACGGACGGTTCCTTTGGGAGTACATGTTGACTGGTGGATAACGGTACACCCACAAAGGTCCTCATGCATGTCTATGTTAGTGTCTGCTACCCCCATATCCGGTCGAATGATATAATACTGCGACCAAACACGTTTCATGTGTGCACAGTTGATATGTTCTGAGCGAGAATGATTTTGCGCCGCTTTACAATTGAGTGAGTTAATATTTAACGTCACATCGGCAATATTTCAGCCATATCGTGACCGCGTTACAAACGTTCCAGTAATATTGCTGAGGGGACACTAGAAACAGACGTTCAATGATTGTACTCTTATGGAGAATCGAGGCACCAGACCATCCTCCACACCCGTTAAGGTCCGTGAAGATTCTGGTTAGATTTGATCTTCAGTAACCCATGCTTGTATAAGGAGCGACAAACGAAATCGGGTGCTCAGGCTCGCTGACTTGGTTAACACAAGTCACCGTATGCCAGTTGCAATGATCGATGCGCATGCTTCTGATCACTGGATTGTCTGGTCCAGACCCGATTATTTACAGACTGCTTGGATATATTGCTGAGTGTGGCTTTAAAACAACAAACAAAACAATAGCAACCGTAAAAAACGAGACACGAGGAAAACATGAGGGATAGCTTGGATTTCCTCTGTAGCAGTTACAATACAATCATCTATACTACCCATCAAAAGTTTAGACTCACTTAAAACATTCACTATATGTTATGTATGTGTACATAGTTACAACAAAGATGAATTTCTCCACTAACAAATTCACAAACAACTGCAAACCTTATGCAGATTAATTGCAAGAGTATCATGCATCGCACTGCTGAAAAGTATATGCAAACATCGTGCATGTGAAAAGCTGCGTTTGGTGTAAAGTTTTGATAAAGAATTCGCCACTTTTCACCGAGTTTCCTCATTAATTCAACTCATGACAATAATCTTTTCAACGTTGCGAATTTGTTTTACAATACATTAGTTCATGTGTAAACAGCACCTTTAAACAGTATGGAATATTTTGCAAAATCTAGTTTAGAACAGTTGCCTGAAGTAAGTGTCTACATTTACACTAGTGAGTCTAAACTTTTGATGGGGAGTATAGATTGCAGTCTTTACACCGGACTCTTTTGTGTATATGCAGTGTAAATATACACAGATATACGTGTAGCACATATGTGCTATACTGGACAAAAATATTTAGGGATATATGTAAATTCTGAGATTATGAATAATGATCTATTTATTAATTTACACATTGATAAAATGTCAATCATAAAGATATCAATATCCCTAACTTATTTTGTCCAGTTTACACTGCGATTTCGGATTCATTGTCTTCCTGTTCAACTTCTTGCTTCATGGTTAGCATGTTGTATAGTCTAGCGGTTAAAGCCTGCCATCCTTACTCTGAAGTCCCGGGTTCGATTCCCCACATTTATATAAAGTCTATATGTTATGAAAATAATCAATATCGAAGATTAATGCGAATATTTTAAGTCCGCTTCGCATGCTTTTGCCAGACTCGAACGTAACCATTTAATATCATTTCTGGACCAGCAGGATGGGGAATATCAGATTTGGGCTTTAAATTCCCCGCCCTTTGTGAATAGACGCCAGATCTTGGGCTTGATCACAAAGAAATCACTTCTAAGTGAAATTTTCCATGATGGTCATTTCAGCCAAGTACTCTGTTTAAATCTCTTCTGTAAAGGGTGGTGTCAGCCTGATGGTTAAAGCGTTCCCGGCCTCGTCACGCCGAAGACCCGGGTTTGATTCTTTCCCACATGGGTACAGTGTGAGAAGCTCATTTCTGGTGTCCCCCGTCGTGACTTTGTTGGAATATTGTGAAAGGCGGCATAAAACTAAACTCTCTCACTATTTCTGCCGTACAGACTACTCGGTGTCGGAGTCTTGTATATAGTGTATCCCAGCGCCTACGAGAGTTGACTAAATAATACACGCCTTGTTACTCAAATAGTCATTAATGATCACCTGTAAAGTAAAGTAAGAGGCGTCTTTGGGAATTAGATGGACAGGCTTGGTAACTTGGCGTGCAATCGTACCCGACATTGTGGGTCGTTGCTGAAGATATGTCTCACTCAAGCGTCCTGACCAGATTATTTACAGGCCGTTGACATGTAGTTGTAATACAACTGATTTCGGCGTTAAAACAATTGACAAACAGCACTCATTATCCATACCTTCTGTATATATGTAATTACAATCAGGATTACCATGTAATTAATTTTTTGTTGAAAAAAGTCGTTGCTTTTTTCAGAATATGTCCTCTACGTCACGTCCGGGCCACATGCCTCTGTCCAAGGGTTACCTGGAAATACACATAGCAGTATATCGCATGCATCACAGAGTGTATCACATGTGTCATCGACAGAGTCAGTTGTATCCTCGACAGAGTCATCCTCGAGAGAGTCAGATGTATCCTCGACAGAGTCAGTTGTATCCTCGACAGAGCTAGATGTGTCCTCGACAGAGTCAGATGTATCCTCGACAGAGTCAGATGTATCCTCGACAGAGTCAGATGTATCCTCGACAGAGTCAGATGTATCCTCGAAAGAGTCAGATATATGGACGACAGTTCCAGATGCGTTGGCGACAGTGTCGGATGTATCCCCAACGGTGTCACATGTATCCTCTTATGTACCTGTGGAAATGTCTAATGTATCTCTAACAAGGCCACATGTACCTTCGACAGTATCAGATGTACACTCAACAATGTCAGATGTACCCTCAACAGTGACAGATGTATCCTCAACAGTGTCAGATGTGTCATCAACAGTGTCAGATGTGTCATCAACAGTGATAGATGTACCCTCAACAGTGTCAGATGTACCCTCAACAGTGTCAGATGTATCATCAACAGTGTCAGATGTGTCATCAACAGTGACAGATGTACCCTCAACAGTGTCAGATATGTCCTCAACAGTGTCAGATGTGTCATCAACAGTGACAGATGTACCCTCAAAGGTGACAGATGTTTCGTCAACAGAGACATATGTACCCTCAACAGTGACAGATAAACCCTCAAAGGTGACAGATGTACCCTCAACAGTGTCAGATATACCCTCAACAGTGACAGATGTACCCTCAACAGTGACAGAAGTACCCTCAACAGAGACAGATGTACCCTCAACAGTGTCGGATATGTCCTCAACAGTGTCAGATGTATCCTGGACAGTGTGTTATGGATTCACGACAGTGTCAGTAGCACTCTCGAACATGTCAGATATATCCAGGACAGTGTCAGATGTGCCCTCAACAGCGGATGATGTTTCCTCGATAATGCCAGGTGTTCCCTCAACAGCGGATGATGTGTCCTCGACAATGCCAGATGTGCCCTCAACAGCAGCGGATGTGTTCTCGACAATGTCAGATGTGCCCTCAACACCAGCGGATGTGTCCTGGACAATGTCAGATGTGCCCTCAACAGCAGCGGATGTGTCGTCGACAATGCCAGATGTGATCTCAACAGCGGGTGATGTGTCCTGGACAATGCTAGATGTGCCCTCAACACCAGCGGATGTGCCCTCGACAATGTCAGGTGTGCCATCAACATCAGCGGATGTGTCCTCGACAATGTCAGATGTGCCCTCAACACCAGGTGATGTGTCCTCGACAGTGCCCTCAACAGCGGGTGATGTGTCCTGCCCTCAACACCAGCGGATGTGTCCTCGACAGTGTCAGATGTGCCCTCAACACCAGCGGATGTGTCCTCGACAGTGTCAGATGTGCCCTCAACACCAGCGGATGTGTCCTCGACAGTGTCAGATGTGCCCTCAACACCAGCGGATGTGTCCTCGACAGTGTCAGATGTGCCCTCAACACGAGCGGATGTGTCCTCGACAATGTCAGATGTGCCTTCAACACCAGCGGATGTGTCCTCGACAGTGTCAGATGTGCCCTCAACACCAGCGGATGTGTCCTCGACAGTGTCAGATGTGCCCTCAACACCAGCGGATGTGTCCTCGACAGTGTCAGATGTGCCCTCAACACCAGCGGATGTGTCCTCGACAGTGTCAGATGTGCCCTCAACAGCAGCGGATGTGTCCTCGACAGTGTCAGATGTGCCCTCAACACCAGCGGATGTGTCTTCGACAGTGTCAGACACCTTCTTGACAGATGTATCAGCGACATTTCGCGATGAATATTTGACAGTGTCAGGTGAATTCTTCAAAGTGTCAGATGTATCATCGGCAGTTCGAGATGAATATTTGACAGTGTCAGGTGAATCCTTGACAGTGTCAGATGTATCATCGACAATTCGACATGAATATTTGACAGTGTCAGGTGAATCCTTACCAGTGTCAGATGTGTCATCGACAGTATCTGATGTCACCTCAACAGTGTGTTATGTGTTCACGGCAGTGTCTGATATACCCGACACAATGTCAGGTAGATTCACTATGTTATCTGATGCAACTGCTTCAGTTATAACTACGACGTTACCAGGTGGTTCTCCAACATTGTCAGTCGAAATCAAAATACCGACAGGTGAAAGTAGAGAAACGTTAGGTAAAACTAGGACAACATCAGCTGGAACCAAATTAACGCCAAGTATAACCTGGCCAGCGTTACATGAAACTATACCAGCGCCAGGAGTCACGAGAACATTTTCAGATGGAACCATACCAATGCAAGTTCTAACTAGGATACCATCATCGGAAGGACATACATCACTTTTACGCGAAACTGAAACTACAATAAATGTGGATAGAGCTGCATCAACCAGTGGATCAACAAGGTCAGGTGAATTGACAACAGCATCAGATGGATCTACAGCAACGCCTGACAGATCACCAACGACGTCTGATAGAACAACATTCCCATCTCCAACGACAATAATCCTTGAATCAACATCTATGTCTGGAGCATCACCTACAATGTCAACTGGAACAACTACAACGGCATTTACATCCAAAGATCCATCTATTATTTCAGTTGGACATACGACATCCGACGGATTGCTTGCAACGTCATTTGGATCAACGTGGTTGTCAGGAGGAACTTCAACAACGCCACTACTGCAGTTCGATGATTCTACAACAAGGTCAAGTGGATTTACAAAGACATCCGTTGCAATATCAGCAACACCAACAACATCATCAGGAGAAAGGAAAACATCAGAGGAATCGACAGCAACGTTCGGTGGATTACGGACAGGTGAAGCAAAGGCAAAGGGGCCTACAACATCCGACATATTTACAAGACTGTCTGGTGGAACCACAATGAAATTCGATGGATCAATGACAACACTACTTGGATCAGCAGCAGCGTCAGGTACATTGACAACTGAATCAACAACGGCTTCAGATGGAACAGCAGCAACTTCGCCGGATGGATTGATAGCAGTGCCAGGTGGTGGTCCTAGAACCTCAGATCTAACTTCACAAACGTCAAGTGTATCCAAAACGACCTCAGTTGAAACTGACAAATATACAACTAGTGGTAACACGGCAACACTGCCGAATGGGACTACATCAACAGCAGGTGGATCTACAATGACATTCTATGGATCCACAAGTACACCAACTGGAACAGTGTCAGGTGGATTGAGAACCTCATCTGAGACAACGACACCAACGACATTTCAAACAATAAATGGATTGCCAATAACTTTGGATGGATATACGACAATATACGATGGATTTACGCCAGGGAGATCAACAACAACTATAGGTGAATCAATGACAATGCATGAGGGAACTGCATCCACAGCAGGTGGGTCTATCACATCAGGTCAATTAACAGGTACATCGCCTGAATCAGAAGCAGCATCGTGGGGAAATACAGTCGCATTCAGTGGATCAACTAAAACGTCAGATGGATCATTAACTACGCCACTTCAAGCTACATCATCTCAGTTATCAACGTCATATGGGTCAGTAACTACGCCAGTTCAAGATACATCATATCATTTATCAACGTCAGAAGGATCAGAAGCTACGTCACTTCAAACTACACCATCTCAGTTATCAAGGTCAGATGGATCAGAAGCTACGTCACTTCAAACTACACCATCTGGTTATCACGTCAGATGGATTACATCATCTCATTTATCAGGATCATATCGCATCTCAGTTATCCGAAACTACGCCACTTCAAACTACAACATTTATCAACGTACACCATCTCATTTATCAGCGTCAGATGGAACAGAAACTACGCCACTTCAAACTACACCATCTCAGTTATCAACATCAGATGGATCAGAAACTACGTCACTTCAAACTACACCATCTCAGTTATCAAGGTCAGATGGATCAGAAGCTACGAATCTCAGTTATCAACGTCAGATGGATCAGAAGCTACGTCACTTCAAACTACACCATCTCAGTTATCAACGTCAGATGGATCAGAAACTACGCCACTTCAAACTACACCATCTCAGTTATCAACGTCAGATGGATCAGAAACTACGCCACTTCAAACTACACCATCTCAGGTTATCATCTCAGTCAGATGGATCAGAAACTACGCCACTTCAAACTACACCATCATCTCAAACTACGCCATCTCAGTTATCAACGTCAGATGGATCAGAAACTACGCCACTTCAAACTACACCATCTCATTTATCAGGATCAGATCGGTCCGAAACTACGCCACTTCAAACTACACCATCTCATTTATCAACGTCAGATGGAACAGAAACTACGCCACTTCAAACTACACCATCTCAGTTATCAACGTCAGATGGATCAGAAACTACGTCACTTCAAACTACACCATCTCAGTTATCAACGTCAGATGGATCAGAAGCTACGTCACTTCAAACTACACCATCTCAGTTATCAACGTCAGATGGATCAGAAGCTACGTCAGATGGATCAGATGGAAGCTACGCCACTTCAAACTACACCATCTCACGTCATCTCATTTATTATCAACGTCAGATGGATCAGAAACTACGCCACTTCAAACTACACCATCTCAGTTATCAACGTCAGATGGATCAGAAACTACGCCACTTCAAACTACACCATCTCAGTTATCAACGTCAGATGGATCGTCAGATCAAACTACATCATCTCAGTTATCAAGGTCAGATGGATCAGAAACTACGCCACTTCAAACTACACCATCTCAGTTATCAACGTCAGATGGATCAAGAACTACGCCACTTCAAACTACACCATCTCAGTTATCAACGTCAGATGGATCAGAAACTACGCCACTTCAAACTACACCATCTCAGTTATCAACGTCAGATGGATCAGAAACTACGCCACTTCAAACTACATCATCTCAGTTATCAACGTCAGATGGATCAGAAACTACGCCACTTCAAACTACACCATCTCAGTTATCAACGTCAGATGGATCAGAAACTACGCCACTTCAAACTACACCATCTCATTTATCAGCGTCAGATCGGTCCGAAACTACGCCACTTCAAACTACACCATCTCAGTTATCAAGGTCAGATGGATCAGCGTCAGAAACTACGCCACTTCAAACTACACCATCTCAGTTATCAACGTCAGATGGATCAGAAACTACACCATCTCGTTATCAACGTCAGATGGATCAAACTACGCCACTTCAAACTACATCATCTCAGTTATCAACGTCAGATGGATCAGAAACTACGTCACTTCAAACTACACCATCTCAGTTATCAAGGTCAGATGGATCAGAAACTACGTCACTTCAAACTACACCATCTCGGTTATCAACGTCAGATGGATCAGAAACTACGTCACTTCAAACTACACCATCTCAGTTATCAACGTCAGATGGATCAGTTATCAAAGCTACGTCACTTCAAACTACACCATCTCAGTTATCAACGTCAGATGGATCAGAAGCTACGCCACTTCAAACTACACCATCTCAGTTATCAACGTCAGATGGATCAGAAGCTACGTCACTTCAAACTACACCATCTCAGTTATCAACGTCAGATGGATCAGAAGCTACGTTACTTCAAACTACACCATCTCAGTTATCAACGTCAGATGGATCAGAAGCTACGTCACTTCAAACTACACCATCTCAGTTATCAACGTCAGATGGATCAGAAGCTACGTCACTTCAAACTACACCATCTCGGTTATCAACGTCAGATGGATCAGAAGCTACGTCACTTCAAACTACATCATCTCTGTTATCAACGCCAGATGGATCAGAAACTACGTCACTTCAAACTACACCATCTCAGTTATCAACGTCACATCTGGCAATGACAACAACGTCAGATGGATCAAGAAGAACATTTGAGACTAGATCGACGTCAGATGGCTTACCAACGACGTCAGATGGTTCTACTCACACGTCAGAGAGCCCTACAGCAACATCCTTCAGAAGTACACCATCAGACGCATCAACATCAACGTCAAATGGAGCTACAACCACGTTAGGTGGATCTACGCTGACGTCAGGTAGTGCTACAACAACGCCAAGTGTATCGTCATCGACTTCAGGCAGATCTACAACTAGGTCAGGTGGAAGTACGCTGACGTCAGGGGGAACTACAACGTCAGTCAGATCAACGTCAGATGGCGCGACAGGAACGTCAGGTGAATACAGAATGACGTCAGATACATCTACAACAGCGTCAAATGGAGCTACATCAACGTCAGATAGCGCTAGAGCAACGTCAAGTGGATCGACAATCACGTCAGATGGCGCTACAACGACAGAAGGCGCTACAACAACTCCAGTTGAAACTAAATCAACGTCAGAAGAAGCTCAAGCGACGCTGACCTCTTGTGGAACTTCTGCTCTCACCTTCAAAGTTGACAACTCTTCTGCGTCAGGAGGTAAGTAGAGCAATACATGTGAAACAAAGACGTTTTATCACTTTTGGGTTCCGAATGCTAAACCACAAGAGCCCCACATCAACACTTCCAAAGGTCGTAGCCGCAAAACAACTTTGGATTTATAAAACTCTTTTTTGATTTGAAAATATCAAACAACGGAAGGTTTCTGTGGAATTTTATTAGGTGGATATAAAGATTATAAAAAGACTGAAGGTCGCGTGTTCGATCCCCGGCCGCGTCATACCAAAAGACGTTAAAGGATGGCACTTGTTGTTTCCTGTCTGGCGCTCAGCATTAATGGGCAAAACAAGGACCGGTCTGCTCGGATTCAGTATAATGTGTCTGAGTGGGATATTCATGCTTAACTGAGGTATGGTAGCACTATAAAACCAGCTTAAGTATGGACTAATACAAGCAGCCACACATACATAAGCATGCACGTCGTCACATGAGAGAAATATTCTCAAGGACGACGTTAAACCAGTTTGTGACTCTGGAGTAGACTATTGGTTAATGCGTCCCATCGTCACGCCAAAGGCCCGGGTTCGATTCCCAAATGGGTACAATGTGTTATATACTGCTTGAATACAATGGTAATAATACCACCCAGGATATAATGCCATGTTTTGTCAGAACGGATTTCCTTCCTATATAATACCCTGGTTATAATGCCAAACTGGATATAATGCCATATGTCAATGGTTTTTGGAACAAATAGTCATTTTCCCCTGGTTATAATAGCAATTGCACTGGCTGCATTTAGTATACATACCTGTATTGCTAGAAGCGGTGTAAAACCAAACTGACTAACTTATTTCTATTTGTTCTTATCTTCCAGGCGTGACCAAGAAGTTGAACTGTGTTTGCAGAGGGTCAAAGCGAAAATTTACATCTGAGGCTGGAATGAAAAAGATTATCAAAGAATTGCGGATTGACCCCAAGACACTGTCATCCCACAAACGTAAGATGATATCTGTAAAAGATGACCGCCCTTCTGCAGTGTCCATGGGAAAGTCGGGTATCGCATTCCTTGTAATCTTTTTCGTCGTAGTCGTCTTATTTGACAGCTTAAGCGTCTTTGACAGACGTTGTGAACGACAAAGGAGAGGGCAACGCTGGTCATTCAACTCTGCGTAACTGCAGCAGCGTTACGTTGTTAGCTAGCATGTAGGCGCTGTGTGATTGAAATATTAACTTTTTAATTTTTTAACTGCCATATCCAGGAAATCTTTCTTTCCGATAAGCACAGAGTGATGTCGTAGAGGCCCGTTCTGTCTACGCTATTTTTGCATATTTGCAAATTCTAAATTTACTTTGTAACGAAACATATTTGAAATCTCTTAGAACATTGAAGTTTTGATGTACTGGCATCATACTGCGTTGACAGAGGACTCCAATGATTTTACAACGTCATTTATTTGCTTAAAATATAAATTAGAGGTGTTTAATATTTCATTTTATACCAAACCCTAAATGATTTATTTTTTGTCAAATGAATGACAAAGTGATCAGTAAGCATCCTTCCTCATTAGAGAAAGTTCACAGCAGTTTGGAGGGCAACAGATAACAAACTGCTATCAAATAAGTGCCTTTCGTGTTTTACTTTAGTTATATGCATGAACCCGTTTCTTACTTTATAAGAGGTTTTGCTTGTACATATTTACAAGTTCGATCTGTACAGCTATAATTTATTATTATTATTACTATCAGTTATAAAGTCAACGATACAGGCCTCTGTCCGCGCCTGTTGTGTGTGTAATATCGTTAGCATGTTATATTGTGTTGATATAACGATGGTTACGTTTTAGGAAGTTGTGATATTAAAACTAACCTGATGTATTATTAGTTTACATTTTGTAGCAGTGTGAGAGAGAGAGAGAGAGAGAGAGAGAGAGAGAGAGAGAGAGGGGGGAGAGAGGTAGAGAGAGGGAGAGAGGGAGAGAGAGTGAGAGAGTGTGAGAGAGACAGAGAATGGGTGAGAGAGACTGCGTGTGAGCGGTGTGAGAGTGAGAGTGTGAGCGTTACTGAGAGAGTGAGCTTAAGTGAGTGTGAGAGTGAGTGTAAGAGTGATAGAGAGTGAGAGTGATTGTGAGAGTGAGTGTGAGTGTGAGAGTGAGTGTGAGAGTGAGAGTGAGTGTGAGTGTGAGAGTGAGAGTGAGTGTGAGTGTGAGTGTGAGAGTGAGTGTGAGTGTGAGTGTGAGTGTGAGAGTGAGTGTGAGTGAGAGTGAGTGTGAGTGTGTGTGTGATAGAGTGTGAGAGTGAGAAACAGAAAGTGAGAGGAGAGAGTGTGAGGGTGAGAGTGAGAAATAGAGAGGAAAAGATCTATATTTATAAAGATATCTACGTGTTCTGTCAGCCGTCCCACGAGATGTGTGTGGTGCTGTGTGGTAACAACTGCCTCTGTCGCTTAATAATTGGAAGGTGGCGTCGACGAACCCACCATGCCATATAGTGAGTGAGGGATATATAGTCCACCACCGACTCAGTTCGGTAAAACCTTTTGCCTGGAGACATTCTTCAATCTCGGGAGAAGAATTCGTGATTCCTCACGGTCCAGAATCTTCGTCACAATCCGTCCATGTACTGTCTCGGTGTATGGTACACACGTTGTCGTTGTCGACACCAACGCCTCAACACAGAGACAAATACTGGTCTTCTGGATCTAACTCCTCTCGCTGACAAATCCTGATTGTTTAGTCCGATACCTCCTTAAACAGGACACATGTCCTTCAGTCTCTGTGCCAGAAGTATGCCGTAGATGAAAGACACGAATAATTCTTCTATGCCACCTTTTATGAACTGTTTCTATGCCCCTTCTCGGCCGATCTTGTGTTGCATTGAGATATACCGATCCCATAACTGAGATATAGAATGAGCAATTAGTCGTCTGTCTCACAGTCCCTGAACCACATTATTTTCGCTACTACCTATCCCCCCTGCAATGCAAAAGCCCCAAATGAAGCAAGTCTAGATTTCCCCCAGTCTGCACCTCTGGTCTCCCAGGGGTTCCTTTTCAATTTAAACGGGTTTATTTGTTACAATCAAAATTAAATATATTCAGAGACTGAGCGTTAGTGTAAATGAGCAATATGCTCTGGTATACGTTGAAATGAAGTGCACCTATAGAATGGGACTCTCCAGTGTCAAGACGTCCTTTGGCCATAATGTGACCGGCGTCATTCAGCAACGGCATGTTCCCACATCCAATAAGTCGACAAGCAAATGACAAAATGATGGAACAGTATTTGTCCCTTCATATGATTGTCACCTCATACACGTGATTTCTGTCTAAGTAAACTTAGGCTCAGTATTATTCGTTACACTGCTATACTGAGTCTAACAAAACCTAGTAGAAGGTCGCGTCAGCTAACCTTTGGGACTGACCAATCAGAACACAGCTTACCAAATCACGAAAGTTAACATTCGCACATACCGTTTGAACCTTTACCTAAAAAACTCGAAGGATTCCGAATGCTATTTTCCGCACGATTGCTTACGAGTGATACACGCAATGAGCAAACAGTCGCTGAAAATATTCAATATTTTGTCAATATTCAAGTATGTCTTCTTGCGAAAATATAAGCAAATATTAACCATGTCATTAGAAACCCATAAGCGTATATACTGCAGGTCAAATATCTCTGTTTTAAGCGGATTTTCGTTTGTTGATTGATCAGTGTCAGCGACCAGGGAAGAGAAAATCCAAAAAACATTTTGTAAGTCCCGCCAAACCCTAACAAGGAGTCGTCGTCTGATTGGTTAAATCCGGTCGGCCGTCTCGGCGTTTGATTGGACGGTCATAGGTCGCTCAAAGGTTAGCTGACGAGAACTTCTACTACGTTTTGTTAGACTCAGTATAGCAGTGTAACGAATAATACTGAGCTTTAGTTTACTTAGACTGCACGTGGTTTCTGCTTTCAAGCTCCTTTCCATGGCATCTTCACGCAGTCTTATAAACCTGTTTATAAAGCTACACAACTTTAAAATGTTTTGCAGTACTTGGGTTAACGAACATGTGACTAACATTGTCCAGTCACAAATGTGTTGAATTTGTGTTTACTATTTCATGAAAAAATAAAATCATTATCTCCTATTAGTTTTCTTTTTTGATTAGTGTATATATTTGCAAATACAGCCAGACAAAGGTGGGACAGCACTCTCTCACACACGCACGCACGTATACGTCACATTAATTGTTGAACAAGAACATAGCCGAACTTTTTAACAATATATTTGTCATCGTGTACAAGTTTCGACAAAGGAGCGAGTGAGTTTAGTCTTACGCCGCTCTCAGCAATATTCAAGCTATATGGCGGTGGTCTGTAAATAATCGGGTCTGGACCAGACAATTCAGTGATCAACAGCATAAGCATCGATCTGAGCAATTGGGAACCGATGACATGTGTCAACCAAGTCAGCGAGCCTGACCACCCGATCCTGTTTGTCGCCTCTTACGACAAGCATAGTCGCCTTTTGTGGCAAGCATGGGTTGCTGAAGACCTATTCTACCCCGGATCTTCACGGGCTGTGTTCCTCAAATAAAGAAGTTGACATCCATAAATAAATTCCCGCCCTTACAATATGAAAACCCAAGAATATCCGGGTTAGAATCGGTCTTCATCAACCCATGCTTGTCGTAACAGGCGACTCATGGGATCGGGTGGTCAGACTCGCTGACTTGGTCGATACATGTCATCGTATCTCAACTGCGTAGATCGATATGTTCATGCTGTTGATAACTGAATTGTCAGGTCCAGACTCGCGTATGTACAGACCGCCGCCATATTGCTTGATAATTGCTCAGTACGGCGTTAAACCAGAAACAAACAAATCATAACATTTAAACAACAGTAATAAATGAGATCGACATAGCAGCACGGATGGCTTCATACAGGTAGTCTGTGGAAATAAATGTGTATCGGGGACAATGGTTGTCCTGTATCAGTCGCCATGACACATTCATTCATCTCAGTAGCTCTTTTTAAACGCGGCATGGACGATGTTATTACAGAAATCTCTTTGTCCATCCAGACAGCAACTATCGAAATATTCACCAAATATTCATGCTTGCAGCGTATACATTTCAAAGCTTTAAACCCTTTGTTGAGGAAGACCATGTGTAATCCCGCACAACAAAGGGCGAGAACGTTATGTAATATTATGCTGTTTTAAATGAAAGCCTTTGATGCATACTGTACTTTGATGAAAACGTGTAAAGTTTTTCAATGGAAATAATTCCTCAGATAGAATTATGTAATTTCCTTGAAGTTGTAACTTAGATATTTGATACAATTTACTAAAATACAGAATGGTATGATTCATGCGTGCCTTTGTTAGATTAATGATATCATTTGTAGATTGTCGGTGTCTGTATCCAATTCATGTTTTCATTGAAGTTAATGAATGTAAAATTAAGTACTTCGATGCATCATGCAGTCAACCGCGAATGTTATCTGTGCCGCATTTAAGTTCATCCCATTAGACTGTCTTGGTGAGGTGAAACTGGGTTTTACGTCGTGCTTGAGAATATGTCGCTCATATGACGACGTACATGCGTGTGTATGTGTATGTGCGGCTGCTTGTACTAGCCTAGACTGAAGTTGGTTTTATAGTGCTAGCCCACTGAGATACCATGCCGCAGTGAAGCATGAATACCCCACTCAGACACAATATACTGACTCCTATCCGACCAGTCCTTGTTGTATCCATTAATGCCGAGCGCCAGGCAGGGACCAACAAGTACCATATTTTAACGTTTTTGGTATGACGCGGTCGGGGATCGAACCCGCGACCTTCCGCTCTCCGGGCGGACGCTCTAACCACAACACCACGGAGGCGGTCAGAGTGTCTTGGTAGCATCTGGAGTACAGTCTGGAGGATAGATTATATTCTTTATTATTTAACACCGTATTCAGCAATTGTCCAGATGATATGTTGGTGATCTGTAAATAATCGAGTCTGGACCAGACAATCCAGTGATTGACATCATTAGCATCTATCTACGCAATTGGGATACGATGACATGCATCCAGCACTAACTACCTGATACCTAGTCTGTCATACAGACCCTGAAGCAAATATATCCAAGAAATCCCACGCAAATCTAGAAAATGTGTCAAGTCTAGATTTCCACAGCTTCTGAACATGAAGAAAGTCAGGGCTCCTTTTCATTATATTATATGTTTTTACTATGAACTTTTTTTCTGTAAAATATGTTCATTTCAGAGACTATTTGTTAGTCCACCTGATCCCGGGAGGCGGCTCCTACCAAATGTGGATTCATCTAACATATAGTGTTCATTAAACAACAGATTATTAAAACAAACAAATACAATTATTAGACGTGATAGACATAAAGGCAATGACTGTATGGACGCCAACTACAGTATTTTGAGGAAGACGACGTTTTGGAGTTTATTCTAACTCTTTCGTTATGCTGTTGTTATAGGGACTAATTCAGGACTCGACAGCCATCGTCCAAATATTTAAAAAGTCCAAAACTGTGTAGTCAAGACATGTGAGACTTTATTG